AAAATGTACTTCTGTCATGAACATGTTGTTTCAATGTATATTAACTTGTGTTGCGAGAGCTGTGATTCATTCTTATGTAACCGTTGGAGTGTTTGAATAACAAGGAAAAGGTCTCTGCCTACTAATTGTAAAGTGAGTGGCTGAGAGCAGCGTGTGCACGCCGTCCTGCCTGTGTAATGATCCTTCCAGTAAACATAATAAGCACACAGAGTGAAGCCACAAGAGATGAGTCTCTGTTGTTGTTTAGTCTCGGACTTTCAGTCAGGACGGTATTGAGGGGAAGGTTGTCCCCAAGGTGGTCCCTTCCTTTCTTCCTTCTCTCCATCTCTCCCCGGCTCCCTTTGACTCCCCCGCAGAGGGGCATGTAGAAGGGTCCTGAATAACAGGAAGTGGAGGGGCAGGAAGTTGAGTCTTGTCTGCCCACGGCCTGTGGTAGGATACTGAGGCTAATGCTGGCTTGCACAGGAAGTGCAACTGTCACGGCTATGCTCAAGACTTTGGCTGCTGTCCATCACCTTCAAAGAAGTAGAGGCATGGTTGCTTCTTTTACAAAAGTCAGATAGGATGGATTTTTGAATAACCTTTATTGTGTTCTTTTTTATTTGTACATTTGAGACGTGGCCTGGAAAAGATTATAGTGGAATAGATTTAGTTGATACAGTTTTGTTATGTTTACTTTTTACTATTATACTGTACAAAAGAACACTGGCCTTATTTTTTGTTCATTAGCTAAACCCTGCAACATAAATCTATGTAATTTTAAGATACCTTTTATATAGGACAGTGGAGGAAGTAATGCCTCAAGTTTGTGTGGAGTGAACACAGGCTCTAGGACGTGCTGGATCCAGTAATTACACAGGGAATAGAGCATATTTTATTGATTGTGAAAGGGCCAGGCCTGTCACCAAGCCTCCCAGTGTCTCCATGGTCTGTCTTAAGGGAGGAGGAAGCAGACTGGCTGTCCTGTCACTTGACCAGTCTTACACGTCGTCATGAAGGACCAAAGCGGCTCTGGTCAGAAACGATTGTAATGGTTAGTTACTTTTATAGGTACTGCGTATTCCAAAACGTGTATGTGTGTTTAACAGAAGGTATAGTAAGGCATGGACTTGTCCTGTTAGTCATATTGACTTTCTGTCAAGCTGATGTAGTCGTTCCTATGACGACATATTCTCTGCACATTGATTTATGTGTTACAAATGTTTGGTAAGCAACTTTCAGTAGATTGCTGGATTGGTTTATATCAAAATGGACCAGGTGTATCATATCAAGGTCTTTTAAAAGAGTATGTGATGCAATGCTGATATACAATGTGCTGCTTTGTAAGTACAAACTAAAGGTAGACAGACTTTTATACACCAACGTGCATTTTAAACTTGTAGAACTTTTACTTATATTGTTTAGAGGGTTTCTGAAATTACAACATTACAATGTATCAACAACAGACAGACCATCAAGTTTTGTCTTATAGATGCAACATGATGTTTCTCAAGCTATCAAGCTCCATGTTTCGAAAAACGATATTTTAGCTAACCACGCTTGTCACTTTTGGTTTCGCAGAAAAGGCCGGCCACTGTCTTCACATTAAAATGCATTTACTATGCAGCACATGCAGGAAGTGGCAAAGTATCAGTGGCAGCTTAAGCACGTTAACTTACTGCTGTAATGAATGGAGTGGAGCAGAAAACTGTATGGTGTTTGGCCGATACCCGATTTGCTTAACAAGTTCAGTGTCGGCACCTGTACCAATCCATCAAATCAGAATGAAGCATCTCTAAAGACTATTATACTGCCTGTCATTATTTTCAGAATTCTATATTTGACTTACTGAGGTGGGACTTCTGCAGTAGAGTTTACATTGAATACACAAGTATTTATTGAGGCGGACACATAGCCTTGTGTTGGCCTGCTCCTGCTTCCAGGCTCAGATTGCCCCCTTTCCTTTTCTCTTTTTATTTTTATCTCTTCATCTCTGTTTCTTACACACGCACGCACGCGCACGCACACACACACGCACACACGCACACACACGCGCGCGCGCACACACACACACACACACACACACACACACACACACACACACACACAAAGACCACATGATTTGGCCACAAACAGACACTTTGTCCTGTTCTAACACTCAAGAGAAGTCAGAGTGTCACGCACAAACATGTCCGCTACAGTACAGGCATTGTCCTCTTTTGTAATCTGACCATCTTCTGACATGTCTAGTAGTGCAGGCTGAAAATTTCCCACTTAGTTCTGGAGATTGAAATTGTGTTATTTGATCCACAGTGAAGTATGTTCTGATGTGATCAACCGCAGCATTGGATTAGAGTGATCATTCAAGGTTTTGTCAGCAAGATGTTTTTGCTTTCTACAAACTTTTGATGAATATGGACACTAAGTTGGGACAGTGGCACACCTGCAGTCTGAAGGCCCTCTCAGCTTGTCATTTCGTATCTGTGTAAGAGAAATGTCATGACACAGTCTATTATGCCTCTAGACTTGAACTGTCCTACCGTGACAGTTCCTCTGTATAAAGAGAGGAAAGGATGTGCGCACGTGTGTGTATGTGTGAGTGTCTAGATTCTTTCTGATGCACAGTTTCACTGATTTTTTTTTAAATGAGCAGGACTGCAGCATTTTGGAGGAGCATATTGTTCTTTTAGATGGGGCACACTTCTTACACCCATGTGACATCAATGAACACAATCATATGTGCAAAGAACAGAACTTGCTGTGGTCAGTTCAAACCAGCTTCAACAGATGATTACAGATTAGTCCACCTCAGAAAGGTTCCTCTAAGTCAACAGCAAATTCACACATTATTGCACGGAGACAACTGTACAATACTGTTAACTAGTGCATCAAAATTCAGAGGCAGAAAATAAACTTTTTTAACATCACATACTGCACTCACAGAGTGAGAAAACCATTATCTTCTAAACTCTCTCAGACAAAATACACCACAGTTACCATTTGTCCGTCAACTTCATCACTTGCCTGTTCTGCAGAAAGCATTAAACTTATTTGTATAACCAAAACTCAATTTGACATTCCTTCTTAATGAAAGAGACAAAGAATCACATCAAATGTCTGTAATGTCCAGCATACCACCCATTCCAGTAAATTCATGGAGGGCTTTAATATTAAATAAACACAATGAATAGTTATGGAATAATCAGTTTTTGCAATACTATAGCTTTCAGGGTGGCTCAGGTATGTATTTGGGAGAGGTGATCCCCCCGACCTCCCTCTACTTCGAATGCTGCTCTGTCCATGTATGTGTGTGTGAAATGGTGAATGAAGAAATGAAGAAGAACATCGTCATTCTCCCTGGCCTGTTGTGATGTGGTTTGGGGAAATTCTTTGTGGGGGTTTAGGTGGTTAGTTTCCTGGCTCAGACAGCCGTGCGTGGGTAGTTAGCGAGGTGATCTCAGTCAAGTTTGCCTACAGTGGAGCGCCGATTCAGACAGCCAGACACCATAATGCCAGTCCATCTGTAACCCATAATGACTGTGTGCCACTGGAACTGGTCATTTTCATTTTCACTGCCAATTCGGCCCCTGGCTTCCTCGCCTCACAACTGCTGACTGCATCTAATGGCCTGAGTTGTTAACCTTTCTACATTTGTACTCATAGGGGAAATGTAGTTGTTTAGACAGTTTCTATTTGCTGGGTGTAAGTGATGGATGCACCTCCAGGGAGGGGGGCTATATCTCTTCTTGCAGAGAAGCAGAGTCAGGACAGAGTTAGATGTTCCCTGGGGAACAGTGTGGTCTGAACCACTGGCCAGGTTAGAAGCTCATGTGGGAATTTACCCCCACTCTCTGTCAACCCCAGACTGGGTGCTCTCTTAATCATCTAATAAGAGCAAAGCTGGCATCATTGTGGGTCAGCTCAGGAAGAGTAAGGAAATGTTGTGGTTCTGTTTCTGCAGGCAGGGAAAGGAAATTTTTTTTTAATTAAGGTAAATTAGCTTGGTAAAACATCAAAAGATATAGAGATTAAAGTGTTGTTGCAGTACTTAAAGCTAGGTAACATTGGAAAAACTATCAAGAGACAGCTAGATTTGAAAGTATCCAATGGAAAAAGTCCCACCTTACTCCCCCAAAACACATTTTCATGTGCAATGAGTGCATGGGCAGAGTGCATGCAGTTAGTCAGGTAGGCAGCTGGGCTTATTACAGGCCTGCAACAGCCACAGAAACTGGATTTGTTTTGTTTTTTGATTGCTGTTGGGATGTAAAGAGAATTTCAACAAACAAAAGACTTTTCTGAAATGCATTACCTACCGCAGCTTTTAAAGCAAAATAGTTTGGGAAATACACTTATTCCTTTTCTTACAGAGAGTTAAGGGAGATGATTTATAACACTCTCATGTCTGTACGGTAGAAATGAAGCTACAGCCAGCAGCCGGTTATCTTAGCTTAGCAGAAAGACTGGAAACATAGAGAAACAGCTAGCCTTGCTCTGTCCAAAGGTAACAAACTCCACCTACCAACAGTAGTCACTAATTAACGTTATATCCCTTTGCCAGGCTAGCTGATACCCCTGTTTCCAGTGTTCATGCTAAGCTAAGCTAACCGGCTGCTGGCTGTAGCCTGTCTTTAATCTACAGATGAGAGTGGTATCATTATTCTCATCTAACTCTTCAGAAAGCAATTTGCATATTTCCCTATTCCTTTAAAATATTAACTTTTAACTTCTATATTATTGTGTGAATGTACAGATTTAATCCTGTACACTTACAACAATACAATAAAACTAGTAAGTGAGTCTTGTATAGCTGCTGCACTCTAAGTGTGAAGCATCTTTCATTGACTCCAGCTGTGGTTCAAGTGCAGCAGCAGAGGAGATAAGTGTATGCCGTGTGGGTCTCATACTTTCTGAATGTGCTAGAGAACAGAAAACAGAGCCCTCCAGTGCTTTGAAGTGCCTAAGGAGACGTTGTTGAGTGTCAAGCTAACCCCCCCACTTGTTTTTTTGTCCTTTTGCAGATTGTGGTGTGGTCTGTCGAAGAGCGTATTGCGAAGAAAGCGAGAAATAGCGTGTACAAGAAGAGAGACTGTTGCACGATGTGCTAGGAGAGTGGGGGAAGAAATCGTGTTGTTTTTCTGATATTGTTGAGGTGTCAGAGAATCCGGACAGGACGCAGCCATGGGGCGGAAGAAGATACAGATCACCAGGATCATGGATGAGAGGAACAGACAGGTCAGTATCTATCTATCTATCTACCTATCTATCTACCAACCCATTCATTCATAAAGTTTAAATAAAATAGTATGTGATGGTACAGTGGATAACACACATGCCTTTGGTGTGAGAGACTCGGGTTCAATTCCCCACTGTGACATTTCCAGTAGTGTGTTCCTGAGCAAGACACTTAACCCCTAGGTGCTCCAGAGGCATACGACCTCTAACATATGTCGCTTTTGAATAAATGTTGTATTAGCTTATTTTACAATAAAATTTTATATATAGTATATGCTACTGTATACTTCATTTGTGTCTGAGAAAAAAAACCTGTACCTGTCTAAAGGTTACAGTCGTCTTCTATTTTCCTTTCTGCCTTGGACCAGAGTTCAGCAGCTGTCATGGTGTGCATGGATCTAAACAGACATACCTCCCTTCCCAAAGTCCCAGCCAGCTGAACAGGGACCATGACATTTCTTTGTCAGTGCGGTCGTATTTACAGACATGATTCCCCTGCCACCCTGCAATTTCAGCCAGAGAAGTTGATGAGGCAGCAGGAGCGCTGGGCTGCAGCAGGGGCCTCATGGCGTGGGAGTGAACTGGGGGTAGCAAGAGGCACAGCGGGCCGCCTGTAGCCTCCCCACACTGTAGGGCTTGTCCCCTGGCCTGGCAGTATGGCTGGGCTCCTTCGCTGTAGCCCTGTGTTTGCAGCTGTTTGGTAGTAATTAGGAGCAGCCACTGCACCGCAGCACCCTCTCATTTGCAGGGTGGGTCAGCAGGACACACAGCACCCTTCTCTGCCTTGGCTACACTGGTCCCAGCTAGCCGCAGAGAGGGAGAGAGCTGGAATTCACTCTGTCTGCTCACGTTAAATATAAACTCCTAAACAGCAAAACACTGTACAAAACAGTCCTCGTTTGTTTGAAACAAGAATAACAGGCTTGGATATCTATAGCAGGAAGGTTGAGTCCATTTTGTTTTTAGCTATGCTCCCTTTGATTTAAGAGCTAAGTTGAGGAAGCGTGAGCGCAGTGTTTGACGAATTATACCAATTAATGAAGATGCGTAGGTCTCCCATAGCCAAATAGATTGCATCTTGTTAACACACCCTCAAAATATAATTTGCATTCCTTCACAGGTGTAACCACTTTTTGCTGTGCACACAGAAATATAATGGTGGTATTGCTTCCTCTCCTGAGGGTATTAACATGATATGGTGCTAGCCAATCAGTACTCTAACTGTGTCTCTGTCTGTTACTGTGAGACTAGCAGTTCAGCCAAGTGCAAAACAAAAATCCACACTGCGGGCCAATTATAAGTGTAACACCTGGCTCTGGTTGGGATCCAAGCACGACGGCAGGAGAGGAATCACCCCTGGCTCATTGCTCCTATCTACGCTATATGCAATGACCTGTGACATCAGGGAATAAAAGAAAGAGAGCAAATTACATGAAAACAGGTTGTCAACTGTTCACTAGGTGGGCGAGTTAAACCTTCAGATGAACCATTCTTAATACTGCAAATATGAAGGGAGCGAGGGAAGACATTTTTCTGTATTGTTTCACAGAAAAGGGGAGCTGCAGAGACATTGCATATTATTAATGTGTCTCCCTAAGTCGAGCATTTGCATCAGATCTGAAATGTCTCACTGTATAATTTGTGAGAAAGTTTATCAGCAGAACACAGGCACTTCAGTTTGCATTTAGTTGGTTTTAGCTGGCTCAGCAGAGAATCTGCTGTGACAATAGGCCGCCGTGCTAAAATAAAGCTTTGGTGTAAAGTGATGTATGTGTGTGTATCTTTCTCCATTTTTTTTCCTATGGACTATGAAGCGCAGAGTGCCATCTCCCTGGAGCATGCTCCTAACCAAGGGGGGATAGCCATTAGCATATGGTCCCCATTGTCAGGAGACAATTTGAATCTTTATCTATGGCGCTCTGCTGCTAGCTATCCATACTCATAGCATTAAAATTCCTTAAGTGGGCTAATTAGATAATATTACATATACAGGATGTTGTGTGGGGACATCAGGGACTCCCTTGCATTATCACTGCAAGAGCTTTAGAAGGGCCGTTAACCTTTCAGGATTTATATCACAGAGTGTGGCAAAGGCTGAGAAGGTCTAGACAGGTCTAGACAGAGTTTAGACAGGCAGTGAACTTAGGAGAGGTTTTTTTTTATTGTGCTTCAAGTCATTACTTACAGTGAATAATGACAATACATCTTCATACTTCAGAGTAATTAGGTGTATTATGTAAAAATGACAGGTAAGATAAGATAGCAATTAAAATATTGTGCTGTTGTTGCATGCATCATGTTTAAGTAAGATCTTTTTTGTGCAGCTTTATGTTCACATAATATGTATGTCTGCTGTGTGGCCCCGCAGAGGTGTACAGAATGAGACAGGAAGGCAGCAGATGTCCCATCATGCATACTGTAGGATGGTAAAGAGCCCATTCATGTGCATGTCAGTGATGGTCCTAAACACACACAGCGGCGCAGTCATCAGCCAGACTGACATGCTGATTGCAAATGAATGCTAGATAACAACCAGACAACAGCAACGCCCTGTTTGATTCTCTTCATTTACCGTATTCACAGCAATTATTTTGAGTCGCAGAGACAATTTTTGAGACATTTATTATACACTGTTATCCTATAACCTTTTAAAATAGAGGAGTATCTGTTTAACGTGACAGGTTTGGAACTCATGAACTGCGCAAAATAACAACAACAGAGCCAGTGGCGCTTAATGAACATTTTCTGGGTCTTTCACCTACTTCTCAGAGCAGCTGTCATGGCGTGTGCGGATCTACATGGGGAAAGATGGTAGAGAAGGGAAGGTACACATTAGTCTTGTAAGTTAGTGTAGAGAACGTGGTGGTGTAGCCTAGTGAGCGGTGTCTAGTGACGTCCTCTGGATGCCATTAAGCAGGCTCACTGGGGGTAATTGCCCAAGTCATTAAAAGTTTGATGATTTTGCTGCTGGGTGGAGGGTTGCCTGCCCTTGCTGTGGCTCATTTTGGATTTTGCTCTGGCACATCAGATGCCTGTAGGCACAGAGCAGCTCTCTCTCTCTCTGTTTCTCTCTGTCTGTCTCTCTCTCTCTCTCTCTCTGTCTCTGTCTCTGTCTCTCTCTCTCTCTCTCTGTCTCTGTCTCTCTCTCTCTCTCTCTCTCTCTCTCTCTCTCTCTCTCTCTCTCTCTCTCTCTCTCTCACTTTCTCTCCACTGAGCGGCACATTGCATACCTCCCATTTTTCAGCTTTCACCAATTCCTGAAGTTCTGAGCGGTTTTTCTGACAGGTAAAGAGCTTGTTGATAGACCATGGACAGAACAGAGGAACACACAGCCAGCACATATATTATCATTGTTCAAAATGATCTGTAGTTTCCACATAACTGCGCTGAAACAGCAAAACATAAAGTTGGGTGATGGTGATTGTGTTTTGCTCTTGAGTGTTACAGAAAGGGTGTACCTTGTAAAGCATCACTAAAATGCTCACACTTGTAGATGATGCAGAATTATTTACCATTTTATCAACACAGCACACTCTTATTACAATGACAGTTTTAAATGAATTTAACAAACCAGTTATATCATTCTTGTTATAGAGATATTTCTAGGAAACCTACTTACGTTTGTTAACTAGCATGTCATCCCATCCACTAAACAGGATCAGTCATGGCTACTGTAGGTTTCAAGGTCAGTCCCACCCAGTGGACGAAGCCTTTGCACTCTCAGTTGTCCACATGGGGATCCTGGGGCTGTCCTCTCTCCCAGCGAGAGTTGATCCAGGCAGACAGTTGTGGTGGCTCTGGCCTGTCTCCCAGGCCAGCAGCCACAGGGCCTGGGTCACTCTGCCAGCTGGTGCCAGACCTCTCTGACTCTCAAGCTCGCTCTCATGTCTGCTATGGGGGCCGTCAGAGGTGACATGAGGTTCTAATAAGGCCGCTAGCTCCTCAACCCTCGGAAGGTGTTAGTGACTCAGGCATCTCCTGCCATGCCCCAGTCACAGCTGCACTCTGAGTCCCAGATGTCTTGTTTGTCATCTTGGCACCTCTGCCTGAGGACAGACATTGATAGACCTTATGATTGACACATCAGTTCTGTGTGGAGGTGGATGTCGGGTTTGTTGTAGCATATGTCATTATATACCATACATTTTTTTGTGACAGGGTCTGTATTGTGAAGGGCGGCATGGTGCTGCAGTGGTTAGCACTCACTCAAGAAGGTCGCGGGTTCAAACCCCAGGTGCCCTGGCCTTTCTGTGTGGACTAGTTTGCATGTTCTCCCCGTGTCTGCAGACTAGGTTAATTGGTGACCCTAAATTGCCCTTAGGTGTGAGCGTGGATGGTTGTTTGTCTATGTGTGGCCCTGCGATGGACTGGCGACCTGTCCAGGGTGTACCCTGCCTTTTGCCCGATGTCAGCTGGTATTGGCTCCAGCCCCCCCGCGACCCTGTACGCAGGATAAGCAGTTGACGATGGATGGATGGTCTGTATTGTGGATGATGAAAACAATAAAACTAAAATTTTATATAGGTGTAAAGCATGGGTGACAGGCACACATGTATGTGCTGTAGATTTTAGATGCATTTGTTCTAGCACAGATGCTACACATATATGGTTGCATTTGGCACACATTGGTTATCAATTAAAAAAAAAATCTGGTAACTTTGCTCAGCATGTTAACCAACCCAACCAGTTAATTTCAAAAAAGCGTATAGAACTAGTGAGCCCAGTTTCTCCAAAAGGCAAATTTGGTTGTTGCATGCTTGTCTCTGCTGAATAACCACATTTCTACAGAAACACCTCTCATAGTGCAGCTTTTTAGAGCCCTGGTGACTTGAAAGTAAAACATGTTAAACTCACACCCAAAAGTATAGAAAATATGCATATAAGAAGTGAATTACCAAACTCCACTAAAGCTCGGTTAAAACAGGTAATGATGTAGGGGTACTTGACAAGAAGTTGGAAATGTGATCATCTTGACATTGTGAGAGCTTCTTAAAAGGTCAGGGTTTTCAGCCTGCCACAGTCTAAATGAAATGCTAGTATATTAACTGATCTGGCTCATATTGTGTGAGCTGGTATAATGACCTTATCAAAAGCAGAGAAAGTTGGAATCACTCCAGTTTACTGGATATTTAAGTGTGTCCTCCCTTCTATTTTGCCCTGACATTTGATTTCTCAGAACAGCTGTAAGATGCCCTGGTGTAGTAGTAAAACAAAGCTTTACAATAATTAGGCTAATCCTCTCATTGTGAATGCTAGACTACATGTGTACCACATCTTACTAGAGGCTCGACTCAAGTTTTGAAACCACAGTGGGTGTCTTTGTGGGTGTCTTTGACTTGGTGAACCATAGGAAAGCTCTGCCAGTGGACCTCAAGGATGTCTGTGGTTTTCCACTGTTTCACCAGTCACCCCAGAGAAGATGGGGGTGGATGAAGGTTATATTTGTATATGTTGGTCTTTATGCTCATAGCTGTCTTATGTCATAACTTATCAAATTAATGTGGACTTCTTAACATATTCTAACAAAAGCAGAAACATAGAGCAAAGTTGGAAGAAAATAGCCTCCTTCTTTTCCCCTTAACGCTATCTGTGTAAGAGTAATGTGGTCGTCACCTTTAATGGCAGTGAGAGCAGCAGCTGGCTTTTGTAGAGGTACTGTGTCTGAGGTTGGGGTAAGGACCACTCTCTGTGCTACTGCTGAGGCTGAAATGAAGCGGTGCCTGGGTCAGCAGCCCTGCACTCAGCACTCTGCCATGCATCCAGGTGGAACAAAGTCCTCGCTCAGCGTCTCATCCTGGGCTTCCTGCTGAAAGGTGACATCTCCATGGCTTAACAGCAACATTCATCTCCTAAAGAGCATACAATTTGTTAATCATTTTCCCACATGACAGTCCCTGCTTTCCAGTTGGTTAGGCAAACAAACAAATATGCAAGTAGGCAAATGATCAAGTGGGCAGCCCTGGTGTTTAGTCAAATGGGACTAGTATCAGCTGGTTAGAATTGCAGGTGCTCTAAGTGGGTACGGAGTTGAGACTGGTCTCCTTGCAGTGATCCACCTTGGGAAAATCATCAGAATGACATGCACAAACACTACACAATGCTTTTTCTGCTCCAACTAAACCCATTGAAAGGCTTTGTGTGTCTGAGATTTGCAAGGAAACATTTGATTCAACTTCTGCTGTAAACCTTGTCGTTTTAAGAAATGTCATTTTAGAATGTCATATGAGTTCGACTAACATTGGTACATTGAATAGAAAATGACAGGCTCCTCCGTGTCTGAAGCGGGAATAATGGTTCTGTGTAATTACCTGTAGTGTGGAGGATTTGAAATTCATTTATCACAGTTGGAGTGACCCCACCGCCTTAGTGGTTACATAGATACTATGCAACACATAAGATTATACTGCATTATACCAGTTAAAATGAGGGTATAGCCGCAAGCTGTGACCAATTAAAGTTGAACAAAGCTAGCTCATCTGCTCAACTCCATTCTTAGTAGGTCAGTGAAACTGATGGTGAACACAGACACATGCACTCTTCTGTGGCTCTAAGCACAGCTTTTACCAACACATTCACAAGCTATGCTGTATATTACACATTTGACCAGACACGCACTGAAGAAAAACATAAATCTGAAGCAATGATTTCAAATGAACACATTTAAAAACTATTTTCTGCTAACGACCATTACAAAACCAAAGGACCCTTGTGAATGATGTTTTTAGCTTGAGAAATGACTGTAGCATACTGTAACGAGGTGGTGCAACATAATGACATGTGTGTATGGGTCTGAAGTGACCACAGAGACAGAGCTGCAGAGATACAGGACATAAAGTCACTTTGCAGAGAGGGTTGCGTTACCATTGGAGTGATGTATGACCCAAAGTCCCATCTGAGGGCTCATGTTACAAGGCTTATGCTGCGCTACAGAGATAGCTTTCCGTATATGGAGTCAGGGGCTACAGTAATGTATGGACCCCTGTTGTTGCCAAAGTTCTGAGTCAGCTCGCTGACTCATGCCTCTGGCCTCTGTCCTGATAACTACACATTTCAGACATGCACTCTGTCATTGTAATCATTCCTAAAGGAGGACTGATCTTGTTTTCTGTCACCTTGGTTACATTAACATTATTGTAATATAGTAAGATTGTTAAACTGTACGCTTCAGATGAGAGTATTTTTTTTTCAGTTGCATAGCTTTTCAGACTTAGCAGAGCACATTTATGCTTTCAACATAAAGCAGCACTTCAGTATTATTTAGAATTATTATTTAGAATAAGTTACAATTATTACTTGTGTAAGTACATTTACTCCATTACTGTACTAGTACAATTTGTAGGTACCTGTACTTTGAGTATTTCCATTTTATGGTATGTTTTACTTGCTTCTACTCCACTACATTTCAGAGAGATATACTGTATTTTTCTACTACATTTATTTGACAACTGGTGCGATTTTGCATATTAAGATTTTGCATAGAAACATATTGTTGTACTAGAGTGGTATTTCTACATTTATTTATGTAAAATATGTGAATACTACTTCCACCACTGACAATTGTAGTAAACATGTAGTTGAAAAAAACTAACTACTACTAAATTGCTAAACTGACAGTTACTCTTGTTCAAATTGCATGTATATGTACAAATTTCTGTTTTGTTCACTTGATTTTGGTCTTCTTTTAAATTTAGAGAAACCGTTTTCCTCTGTAATGGATGGTTTTGTTTTCTGTGTGTTCTCAGGTTACTTTCACAAAGAGGAAGTTTGGCCTGATGAAAAAGGCCTATGAGCTGAGCGTACTATGTGACTGTGAGATAGCCCTCATCATTTTCAACAGCTCTAACAAACTGTTCCAGTATGCCAGCACAGACATGGACAAAGTGTTGCTGAAATACACAGAGTACAACGAGCCCCATGAGAGCAGAACCAACTCTGACATTGTAGAGGTGAGTGAGTGTCGCCTTCTTACTTTGTGAGGAAAAACTTCTTTCCCAGCTGCCTTTTCCCTCGCTGTGATCAAATATTTTCTTTTCTTTATGATTTCTTAACGAAAACCTATCCTCAGATTCAGCAGATTGAGGCTAAGTCAAAGGTTTTGGAACTTGATTTAAAATATATTCTATATATATATTCTGTGAGAACTATAGGCTTAAAAGCTGTGTTAATGCTTTCAAATGGTACTGTTTTAGATACATATGAGTGAGGAGCAAATTACAGTTTCCTTCTAGTCACCATTCAGATAAGGCATAGGAGGTCTGCACTCCCTGATAAGTTCTGTTTCTCTTGTGCTCATCAACTGACATGGAAAACCTATCTCTGCACATGCGCACACAGTAGCTGCTGACCACCACTGCTGACACTGTTTCCTATAGATATTGTACCTGCTGGGCTTAGTTCTCTGGCTGCTCCTCATCACAGACCATCAGCTTGGCTATTGCTGTAGTGAAAATACAGTGTTTAGTACATTCCATACTGCTCTATAAAACTCAACAAGCACTTGGGTTTCCTGGCAGCTCTTGCATGCCCGGCGACTAGCGGAAGAGTACGCCACTTGTTATGCCAGCATACAGCACTGTCAGCCAAAAGTGTAAAAGCCAAAGTAAATGAGAATGATTAGGGATACATCCTGTTCCAAACATCGTTCATTGGCACATATTTGGTTTCTCAGCTTATTCAAGATCTGCTTTAAGGCTGGTATTTTCATTCTGACTATAAGAATGGATATACAATGTATGTTAATGCCTGCTGATACACTCGTGACACTGCTTGTTTAGTATAGTTGCCCATTCTTTTTTATAGCTATTATTTGAAATACACTTAGACTAGCTTCTTCTGCACTGAGATACCCTTTATTAGACAATGAGTGCTGTATCGAAATGCTCTGGTGTTTTTGCTCCCACCTGCTCACCAAAACATACAGCAGTTTTATCACTGCTGCCCAATTAAGATACATTAAGGGTTTAAGAAGGGTGAGATTGAAAAATTCCAAGAATCCCAGCTTTGGAGAAAGACTTTCACTTGGAGGAATTAGTGAAATTACATGCAGCATAAAAGAGTCAGCTGTGGCCCATTATATTTTATTCATGCTGCTGCAGCTTGTGAATTACCTGCTTGGCAGAGCTGCAGAAGAGTGCTCTGGCATCCAGCAGACCCATGCAGTCAGTCCTCCATAAGGGGCCCTCAGAGCAGAGCAGGGGCTCACCTGCATAAAATATACATGGATGCATTCCTTAGTTGCGTAACAGTGACCACAAATGTGTTTTTGCTGTGACTCTGGAAGCTCTTATTTTAAACTAGAAAACACAACAACATCCCATACTCCGCATCCTTATGGGGTCATTCCCCTCGGGCTGTATGTTTATGTTGACAGCATGGTATAATTGGAATGTACATTGTGCGTAATGCAGCACCAGTGATCCCATGCAGTTTTCCCACTTAGCCCTTCTAGCTACTCTCAGAGAAGCTGCCCCACTGCACAAAAGGCGAGAGAACAAGCTGTTGTCCCCGCTCACTCGGCCAGCATCTTTGCAGATATGCACAAATCCCGCTCTGTCTGCTGGCTACGTGGTCAAGGTTCAGAAATGAAGAAGCAGAGCAGAAGTAACCAACCCAGTCCACCTCACACTTCTCTACAGCTGTACATGCAACATGGAAGAGCCGATGCATTTGTATTGATGGGAAGAATCCACCCACCCCCATTTATCGAGCAAAATGGGCCTCACATGAGGACACTTACACTGGACACTTATCTAAGTTTTTAAATTGTGTTAAACCAATCTTTGCCATGCAAACAATCATGTGCTCATTTGTCCAGTTTGGGAGGCCAGAAGAACCCTCTTCCACTTTTCATTGGGAAGCTTGTTCGGTGTGAGAAACTAAATCAAAGGTCACATTCCTGTTCAGTAGTACCATCTGTAGATAAAGGCTGAGCTGTGCAGTGTGAGAGAACAGTCTCCATGTTTTCCACAGATGGATGCATGCCTGGGCCACAGTTTGATAACCCAGTGGAGGGCTATGGACTTTGTCTCAAACTTGGCTCGCAGTCCAAAGCAGAGCAGTAGGCTCAGATTTTTCTTCTATGTGTGTGCTAGTGTGTGTGCTTGTGCGTCTCGGCATGTGTTGATGGTCTTAACCTTACCAGCACTCCAGGCGACAGGTGAACAGTTGTATAAAATCTCTCTTTTTATGCATTTACCAGTGTGTGTGTGTGTCACACTAACCCTTCTTAAATTTTAAACATTTCTAAATCGTATTAAGGTGGAATGATTTTAGATGTTCTCATTAGTAAAAAAAATGATTTATTGTTTTTTTCAAAATCATATCTTAAAAAACCACAGCTCTCTTGTTTACCGGGTGCATATAAAAAACAACAAAATGAAGGTAAACTGGTACCCACTCATAGTAAAAAAGTCTTTTAGGGGCACAGTTGCTATATCATTATTTCTTTGTAATGTAGAACACGCATAATAAATGTGGTATTTAATATGACTGTGTTATTGTCAACCAAGCCGAGTATTCATGGCTGAAGGCTTTATGGCGTTGTTTCCATTGTGTTTCGTATTGAATGCTGTTTATACCACAAATGAAAATGCTGCCGTTAGTCATTAGATTAATCTAATAATATTTACTCTTCCTCCCCTCTCCGCTAGTGGAGCTAATGAGATTTTGCTCATGCTCCGCTATAACCTCACACCGTTCTCCAGCACACAGAAAGATCACTGTGTCTCCAGGAGAAAGCTTGAAATCAGATAGTAACTTCACAAGCGTCATTTGGCATTTATCTGTCCTCGCAATTCAATACAATTAGGGTATAAGGTATAGATTAGGATTAATCAGGTTTGCAGGCACACGGAATCAACATTAAGTCAACACTTAATCTTATAAAATCAGGGATGTGGATGGGCTTTAACCCAATTTGAGAATGCAATTTTAGTAAAATACGAGTGGCTTGTAATTGTAAATGAATGGACTGCAACAGATGCAAAGCTTTGACTTTTCACTGCTGTTTTTTTAAATGTCTTTTACCCTGATGATTTGTGAGAGTAAACAACCCAAGATCATTCATAGGGAAATTCAGCTTATCTTCCTCATAATAAAGAGGGGTGGCCATTGTTAATGTGACTTGGGAAAAACAGACAATTCCTTCTCTATTTATGAAGAAACGCCCCCCTCTCACAAGACCACTACAGGGAGAGGAAATGAGCATAAAATTATCGGATAATTTCCATTAGGTTTCATTTCATGATCTCTATCAGCCGTTCTTATAAACTGAGCTGTATTAATCATTCAATAAGATATGTTAATTTTGACCATTACTGAATGTCAAGCCCTGTGTTTCATCTGCATCACCTTTTTTCTCTCTCTTTTGTTTGTGAATTTCCTGACCACCCTTTGCAGATTTTATTGTAACAAAAGCTGTGTACACTATCTCACAACCAAGGGTTCAATCTGTCAACTTTTCAAATTTTTTTGCCGATTGAGACAATCAGTGCATTAAACCGATGTGCTTCAGAAATGCAATTTCAGCGATCAAAGAAAAATAAAGGTTATTACCAGTTATGGAATGAATCCCATACAGTGCTTTGGGCTGAATGGGCACCAGGAGTTTCAGACAGGGGGATGTTTATGTTGTCAATCAAAGGCTGAGCAGTGATTAAGACTCATTTCGATCTTAATGAATGCAAATTGGCACATCTGCTATGGTGGGCTAACTGTCCAGACTCTTCAATTAGCATGATTGATCAATTATCCTCCTGCTGGTGGCTCACTGGAAATTGAGGCTGGGGAACGGATGGGGGGTGGGGGGTTGGTAGGAAGAGAGATGAAAGAGCATGAGAAAAAATAATGAACAGAAAACTGTCCAAAACCTTCACTCAATGAATCAGATTCTTTATTTGATTAGACAAGAATAATGGAAATTCATTTTACTAAGAGGGCTCTCACTTTAACATATTAACATATTTGTTAAAAATAGATAGTGATAAGTATAATTAAAAAAGTGGTCATTTTATGATTTAATAGTTCTTCCATTTTGGCACCTAAAAGCGCGGGTTCAGAAGGTGATATTCCTCAGATTAAAATAAAGAAAAATATAAATATTATTGCAGCTATACTGCATTTTTTAACACATTATGGTTCTGAATGTGTAATCATAGTTTTTTTTAACTTCATTTATAGTTTTTTGTTTGTCACATGAACAAAAACATAATTTGCATTTTAAGTATGCGTCTGATTCTCCCATCAACAGATCAAATATTCTTGTGAGAAATGAGCTTCAGCCATTCAGATATGTAGTAGATCAGTACTCTCTCAATAGTCTGTTGAGTATATTGTTGTGCGCATATTGTTTGTGCTTGTTTTAACAGTAAGCACAAAATCCTTGAATATCAAAGCACTGTGCTGAGACTACTCTGAGTAGCAGAGGCAGATTGTCCCGAGTGTGAATTTATAATTGTGAAACAAAAACACGGACGGTCAAATGAGGCTCGGGCTGGCTCACAGGGAAACTGTCACCACTACTGTGTTCTTTTATGTAACAGAGAGCATTATACTTGCTATAGTATAGCTAGTATATGATTATTTGCATATTTAGTATAAAGCTTTACATCTCATTGATCATATAATGAGGAAAAACACAAAATAAACAACATCTACATATTGTGTTACTTACCTAGCTCTCCAACTCCAAGATAAATTATTCAGTTAACTCCAAACAACAAACTATGTACAAAATAATGTCCAGTTTCATTCTGGCAAACCTGCCAGTGACTAAATTAGAACACATGCCAAGATTCACAAAAAAGCTTCTCTGCCTTAATGCATCTGTGCACCAGATTTTAGTTTTAGTTTCTACGGCAAATTCAAAATCTGCCAGCGCTAATTAAAAATGTCAAAGTTCTATGTTAAATGTGTTCTGCAACTTATATAAACTAAAAATGATTTGACT